AGACGCCCGAACGGCACGTTTTTCTCTCCTGTAGGCACGATGATCCCCTCACCCCCTTAAGAATATCGTAGAGTATAACACGATAAGTTTGAGATTTTTAAATCAGGAGTCGACCGTAATGATCACTACTGTTAAGGATATTATATATACTTTTTGTAGAAACCAAAGACCATGTACACGCGCGAGTAAACATGCACGTACACACAGGTACACACACACATACACACACACACACACGCACGCACGCACGCAGCACGCAGGTACGCACCGACACACGACGTATACATCATGCGAATCATCGAACGAACGAGCACGTCGCGCAGTTGCGGCAAAAAAGCGTGACCTTTGCGCCGGTTTTGAGCGGCCTTTTTACACGGATAAGTATTGTATGATCACGAGCAAAGTGTAGGATCGACGTAAAAATTGAAGAGAAAATACTCGATATTATATTTCAAAGAGTTAGTTTGTTACTAAAAGATTTAAAAAAAAATGTACTTTTTGTTGAGATCAATCTTTAATTTTGTTAAGATACATATTGATGGAGCGAGTCACGTCGAAATGTCGACTGTTATTTTACAGAGAATGTTCTTTCTTATTATTTGTGGTAATTAGCGCAAGTCGGCGCGTGGACATTTCCTTGACAGTCCGGCAATTACGCTCCGTACTCCCGTTCCGTTCGACGCCTTCGCTACGCTTCCGCTTTACGGCGGAAGTCGTACTGGTTCCCGTTCGTCGTCGGGCGGAACGCGCCGGAGAAGATTATCACGAAAGCGCAATTAGCGCTGGGCGTCGGAGATTTTTAATGAGAAATTACGTTCGCGAGCGCACGCGCGTTTTCTGCTTTAATTATCGCGTGATGCCTCGGCGGCACGCGCTGCAGATTTCATGCGTCTCGAATTTACTTTGCTTGCCGGATAATATTGTAGATTGAAAATTATTTGACAATTCTACTTAATCCGACAATTTCTAGTCACATTTAAAAGAGATGCGCTAGTGAACCAAATACTGTATATTGAAATAAATGAAACAAATTAACAGCGAATGTCTTAATATTAAACGATATAAAACATTTTTTCTTAACTTACTCGATTCAGAGTCGATCCAAAACGCGCTCGCAAAATCCAAATTATCGATATTGATCCCAGCTAATCAATAAAATTTCCGGATTTCTCGCGCGATGTTCCGTCCGTGTCGATCACCTTTTATCAGACAATTGAACTATATTATTTGTCGCGAAAATTACTTTGTCTCTACTGTCTGTGTTACGCTCTTTAGCAATTTATATCTCATTTCAATTCGATTTATTATTAAATGTAATGATTAACGATTGCAAATGAAATCTTCAAATTGCTAATCGAACTGCAATTATGGTACCTATTGCTTACAATAATAATGTGCCACGGTAGTATAATGTAAAGCAGTATTGGAAGAAAAAAGTATAGATGTGTCAAAAACGTCTGTTTTTTTGAATTTCAGCCAGTGACAATTTTTCTGCTTGACATTGTTAAATAAAAGGCACACTTTTAAAAAAAAAAAAGTTCGAAGAGCAATATTCAGCGCGTGCATGCACGAGATATATGTTCGAATCTCAATTGGCCAAACATCGGCGAGATTAATGTGTCCGATATTTGGTACAATTTTTGTATACTTATATACTGTTACTTTATTGCTATTACCATAATGACGCTGATTATTAATTATTATTCTATTTGCTATTTTCACTATTTTCATTATTTTATCATTATTATTATTATTATATTATTATTATTATTATTATTATTATTATTATTATCATCATCATCATTATATTATTATTTAATATCTTTATTATTTATTAATTGTAATGATGACCTATGTGTAATAAGTTTTGCCAAAGAAACCATTGAGAGAGCAATATTGCAGTAAACGTTTTATAGTCTCTGTAGGAGGAAAAGTCGATAAAGCATGATTGTAATATGGAATTGTTGAATGTAGAAAACATGAAGAGAAAAACGACTGTGCGCGGCATTCGAATAATAGGTGAAATCGCGAATTATACATTCGTGAACCTAAGATGTCGATTCGAACGCCGCAATCGCGCATTTTTAACAGAGCACACACGATCTTATCTCATTTTCTGTTATTTACCCGGTGTGATATTCTTGTTCCGTGCGCCGCTCTTGCCGAGTCTCGCTGTTGATACTTGCAAACAAAACTCTGTACATCCTTTTAAATAAATATGAGGTTATATATATATATACATGTAAATTATCTTTACACCTAATTCTCTATAATTCAGTTTTCCTTTCACGTGCAATGCAAATAATATTTTAAAATTATGCTTAACTAATTTAAGGGTTGCTATAGAAATCAAATCAGACCTTCAAAAATAATTATACATGAAAAATATCATTTTTATAAAATAATTTGATATTTTCATTTCATAAAAGCTATCCAGATATCAATTAAGCAAATCTCCAGATTTTTATTTTTCGTTTACATATTGTAAAAAGTAGAAATCGAAGAATTATCATTGGATATTAATTCCATTATACATAAAATCATAAATATGATAATAACATGGCAAATATAATAAACTGCATAACAATGACAAGAAATAAAGTCATTAAAAGTAAAGCTATTTTTTTCTTTATAATTATAGTACAATACATAAAAGAAATTTTGTTTTGCTTCATATCAAAATTTATATTTGTAAAATTACAATACAAAAGCTTATTAAATATAAAGATATATTTAGCGACATCTGTGCATCTTAACGTACATTCGTATACAAGATGTAGAAAAAAAAATCAATAATTCATATTATAAAGAAAAAAATTAATTTTAATAAATTATGTGAAACTAGAAAATATATTGTAATGTCCATATATTTATATAAAAATTCTTTACATATTCTTATATCTGATGGCAATGCATCTCTAGTCGTGAATGTACATCTCTCCTTTTATCGGCGTTATGCAGCCTGATGTATCAGATATCATCTGTATTATTTCAATCCTAGATACGATTAGGTATGGATAAAGATTTATAAAAATAAATAAGATAAAATTATTTTCTTTTTACATAATACCGTTAATGTATTTATTTATTAATATGTATATATATATATATATATATATATATATATATATATATATATATTCCTGAAACACTTTGTAGAAAATAGAAATATTTACGTATACATAAATAATCAGATTGATTATTATAACTTATATTTAAGCATACAATTGTCTCTTGTATTCGAAATTGTACAATTGCCTTAATTTAAGGGAATATTGTCTTTATATTAATGCTTCATTTATTGTAAACGTAACTTTCAGCACCTCCACGTCCGAAACCTGTAATCATTTCGTTTCATGAAACCTTTAAATATTAAAAGCGCAGCAAATCTAATTTCAAAATAGTGTAAAGAGTAATGAGATATACATGTAAACGGATGGAAGGAATAAGGAAGATGCGTATTAATTTAATATATTAAATGCAGATGGCAACGTTCTATGGAGGATTCTGAATATGAAGTAGTTTTAGAGGAAACGAAGCGCAACGCTCTCGAATCGAGAGCGGAGATTTCCATTTACCTCCTGGACCGAACAGAGCTGAATAGCAAGGGTGATTGCAGTAGGGTTTCCCTTCGTGCTCGGCATGACCCCCAGGTGTTAAGGTCTTATTGCATTTCTCGCAACGTAAACACGAACCGTGCCAATCTTTGCCTAAAGATGTCTTCCTCTCGGCTGCAATACAAGATGAATGTTAACATATGTTCTTGCGTAACGTAATGTAAAAAGGTAATGTACCTCGGTAAAACTAGTCGTGCTTTCCCGTTTAAATTTTACGATTAAATTCCACGTTTCTACAATAACGTCAACGAGTATTCACGCCATTTATATCATCTCTCCTCGCTTTTGCCGGCGAAAAAATAATAGTTCTAAAAAAGTTTAGAAATAGATGGGCGTACATATTTATATATAATACGGGAAAAATATGTTATTTATAAAAAAATTTATATTTTATATTATATTTTATTTATTTAAAAACATTGACTTATTTAACATTGGGCCAACCGTCGTTTATTTTTATAACGATCTGAAATGAAAAAAATATATTTCACGTGAATTGTGCGCATCGCTGCACCATCTGAGTCGCGAATAGTGAAAATAAGAAAGAGATGACGAATACAAACTCTCCCATTAGCAATTTCATAATTAGAAATCCAATGTCAAAGTCCCAATGGGATCGAATGTCATCTGTTATTCATTAAAGGCGCGAAACATGCTCTGAATGCATTTCACGAAGGATTTCATATCACCGACGGAGTTTGAGAAAAAAATTCTTAAACCCCTTATATGCGAGATACATTATACGTATATCTCAGTTAATTCCCAGATGTATCTATGAAAATTTGCGTCGGGATGTTTGCACATTTACGCGCGAAAAGGATATATACAGTAGAGTTGCTGGAAAAAAGAATAAATGATACTAATGAGAAAGCAGCGAGAGAATTGAATTCATATATTCCTTTAAACATTTTTTTAGAATTTTAAAACATTCCTTAAAATATTAAAATATTTAAAGTTTTATATTTTTATATCTTTAAATTAATTCTGAGTTATCCATTTTCTAAATCTTATAAATATTTAAGATAAATATTAAAGATAATAATTGATCACATTTTTTCTAAATGAGATAGATTCGTCATTTAAAAAACCGTTTGTTGTTTATTTTCAGTGTAGTTATCGAGATAAGATTAAATCATGTTTGAATTAAAAACATTTTGATAAAGAT